GAAAGTTTCTCTGTGCTCACCGAAAATCCGATTTTAAGGGGCGGGGCCTACCAGCATGATTTGTGACATCACAAATAGTTTGGATCAGTTTTATGGATTTTAATTTGGAAATGATCCTTTTTTTGTGGAAAAAACATATCAGACACACATTATTGTTCCGAGCAAGCTATTTGTATACATGTATATTGTACTTTAAACTGAATTCATTCAAAGCTTTCTCCTCAGCCATCTGTAAACCTTCATTTTTATCAGCCATGTTGCTTCTAACCTCTGTTTCTAGACCTAATTTACAGTTCATTTTGAGGTGGGTGGTTTCAAACATGAAGACATCATCTGTTTTCTTATTTCTCTCTCTCCTGTCCTCAGCAGTAACTTTACGCTCCACTGTAAAGCTCACACTGAGCGTAAAACTTTCTGTCATTGACCATGTGGTGTGTGTGTGTGTGTGTGTATGTGTGTGTATGCACGCAGGTGGTGTTTGAGGCCCACACTGAAGGTCACCGTCACTATACCTTGGCCCTGCTGCTCAGTCCGTACTCCTACACCACCACAGCCGTGGTCACAGACGCACACCAGTGACACACCGTGGAAATTTACAGTCCGGCGGAGGTGTCAGAACAGCAAGCTGCACAAGGCCGGAGAACTCTCACATGATGATCCAAACCAACAATGAATGTATCTACTAATAAGTATTGTGTGTGTATCAAAGTCTTAAATATATATCTTCCTCTGTGCCACAGAGCTCCATTGTTGTCCAAAAACTATTAAAGACACATCAATGAGCCACACTGTTGCACTGCCTGACATGTTCCTTCATCATCATGAACACACACTGTAATTTACTAGTCTCAATCCGACATACCACCAATACTTACCAAATGTGGATTAATCCGCTGCTGAAAATAGTCCCCAACAAATGCATTATTTTTACGCTTTTTTTAAGAAATTACTGAGCTTTTTTTTAAAAAAATTAAACTATTTGTGAGCTTGAAGTGACAGATTTAAATCTTCCATGAAGCCAACTGAAGTTAGGTGAGGAGTTGCCGACACACACACAAAGCACACATGGAGATGCACTCTGTTCAAAGTAATGTAAAGTCATTTTTTTATCTGTACACTCCGTTTGACTTTCCCAATAAAAAAATTAAAAAGGATCAAACACACGATTTAAATGAATTTCCTAAAAAAGCGATGTGGTCGAGAAACTGCTGCTCTCTGCCATCTAACATATACACCAGCATCCCAGCTACCTACCAGCGCCCTGGTGACGCAGAGTCCAGGAGGAGCAGGTAAGTGAACAATCTCAATGTCTTTAGGATTATATAATCAAAAGGTAAATAAACAGAATGATCACATTTCTTCTTTTTTTTATAAATCAAATTATCATAAATTAACTCACAACATCCCTCTTCCAAGTCTTCTTATTTAAATTCAAAAACTCTCAATATGGCTCCAACAGAGCTGTTTTTAAAGATCAGTAGGAACCAATGGGCTTGGAGCTGACAGCCACAGAGAAGTCAGAGTATTGGGACACAGACCAACACATGTTAGTTTTGGTGTTTAATTATGCAGAACTGTACAGTTGTCATATACGGGGAAATTTGCTATAGACATACACTGCTGTAAACTAAACATGTTTATTTCTGCTGTAAAGTTGGGCATTTTAATATGGGGCCTTATGGAGAGTGACTCACTGCTGGAGCCAGCCTCAAGTGACCGATAGAGGAACTGCAGTTTCGTAATTTCCACGTTGGCTTCAACCACAGAGGTTGCTGCCTGGATACTTGATGAACTTTATGTAGGTCATGGTTATTTAAAAAAAAAATGCAAATGCAAATGAAATCTTTAAGAAAAAACAAAAGCCAAACTGTTTTACTGCAACATTTAATTGTGTATGAAACAAAAGACGTGGCGTTCTCAACTCACAGCTGCTACACATCTAACTTATTTGCAAGTGCTCAATTCAATTCAATACAATTTCAAACCTATCCGACATGATAATGCTGCATTCAGGGGCAGACCAAGAGACATATTCCTGTAGTGGCATAGGGGCTTTAAGGGGTGGCAGATATTAGAACTGCAGTGCATTATTGTGGCACATTAATGAACCACTGAAGCTGGATTGTTTCATTTCAAAAAGCATTTTTGCTGCAGCGGCCACTCCATGCCCCTCCAGATCTACCCCTGGCCTCATCACACAGGCCTTCTTCATACAATACGAGCTGTTAGTGACATGAGACTGCTGTAATTCAACCATCAACACATGTAACATTATAGCAAAGATAAGCAAGAGAAAATAAATGAGACAAACGTCAAGGCTGTTTTCCAGAATATGGCAATGAAGTGTTTATTTTGTCTTCTGTTGACAAAGAAAAAAAAAAAAAACTTTACAAAGTAACGGTTCAACACCAGACTCCAGCTGTTTTATACTGTCTGTTACCAAAGACTGCAGAAGTCTGACAATGGAGCTAACTTCACCATGTAAAAAAGTTCAGTGATGTCTGAGGGGGTGGGGGGAGTGGGGGAGTGGGGGAGTGGGCTCTAGCACATGCTTCAGAGCCAGTGAGAGGCAGGAACGAGACAGAACTGAAGGAAGTGAGCATGTGCGGAGTGAGTGCTACATTAACATTAATTTTCACAGGGTTGGCTCAGTGCGCAACTCCACTTCCTTCTTCCACATGAACTCGTGGTGATCAGGTGATCGTGACATACGGAGGGTCAAAATGCTACAAAGAAAAGCTGTGCCACACCATTCTAAAGGAAGTGATGCTGTCCAACACCCAGACTGAGTTCTGCAGGACAGGGCCAGGATCCCTGGGTGACTGACCCTTCCAAAGCCCCGCCAATTTAGGAACCAGTCAACTGGTGGTTCAAAATTCAATTTTGAAGGAAAGGTAGCGAACGTTAGTAAAACGCTCACTTTTCAGATGTGAATGTAGCTCGTTATCTAGCATTTTGCTGACATACAGCTAACTTAAGATGTGACATATATATGTTGCCTTTATCTTTTAACCATCTTCACAATGTGGTTGTCTTTTCAACATAGATTAGCCTAGCACATAGCATAACTAAGTACAGGAAAGGAGAAAGTTGACTGAGGTTCTGATCGAGGCTTAAAAGGGGTGGGACTTAGGAAGGGCCAATTTATTTTCATTTCAGTCCTAATTTTAATTTTAATAAAGCTCTCAGGACATTGTTCAATAAATGGATGGTTATAAAAACTCTAACTTATTGATTAATTTATTTTACAAGCACTTTTTCTGAAGAAATTCAAACATTTTGGGATTGACAATTCATTCTATGGTTCTCACCAAAAGATCCATTGTGTAGCTGCTCTGGAGCTTTCAACTGTATCCCATGATCAAGATCTCTTAGATAATTTTTCAAGGTATTTTAGATTTTTTACTCATGTTGGCTTAAAAGTTGGGATAAAAAGGAAAGTTCCAGAACAGGAACACCTTGTGGTGCAATGTTCCTTCAAACATATCTTAAGCATTTCTGAAGTTCTGCCATATACAGTGATACCAATATATCTGCAATATACTAATAGCAGCTGATTTATCGGCTCCACTCTTATGTTATGATCAATGTGGCTGAAAGCTCTGGAAAGTTTGCCACCTGTCCACCTTGTGATAAATTGCTTTTGTTAAAAAACTGAAATGTTATTGATAGACATAAGTTCTTAATTCTTAACACTGGTTCTTTTAGAACTGTGACCCAGACATGTATTGAGCAGGGCACCTTGCAGTCGATTAACTTGTCAGCACACTCTGGTGGACAAAAGATGTAACAGCAACACTATTTCTCAATGACTTCGAACATCTTTGGCATCTGGATGCACATTGGTCTCTATCTATCAGCACATAAACCAATATACTGTGATATTGATTTATCAGTCAGGTTCTCATATGAACATTTTTGAGAGTTTAAGAAAAGTACATTTTGATACAATGCAAGATGGGCTGGTGAAGATGGGAAAATAAAGACAGGTGTTACAAACATACACATGACCAGTGTGAGGCAGAATGATGATAAACATCAGAGCCTGGGTTACTTAGCACTGGGATGAACATGTGAATTGAACGGAACGCTGTTTGTTCAGTAACTGCCCATTGGTGGGAAGCTGCCTGCAGAGCCTCTGTGGACCTGCTTCAGTCATGCACAAGGAAATTGGATGTAAATTACATTATTTTGTCCACATATGTATTTGTAGGCATGCAGATTTGAAGCCTATCAAAGAGGTTTTTGAGGTGCAGCTCTTGGTGGATGAGCCTCTTAGCTTCAGCCAATTTGTGCTTGAGAGTGTTGACGACAGAAGGATATGTGCTTGTTTGTATCAATTTCTAGGCAAATGAGCTGAAAGTGATGTGCATTAAACATAAAGGCTGCCCTCGCATCTCAGTCTTGGTGCATGAGGGCGAAGCTTTCGTCGAACGTGCACCCACAGGCGGTCACAGTGGAATGTTACACGCAACGTCAAGGCAGCCATAAACACTGGAGTGGACAGACTGATCTTTTGGATTCTTATCGTGAACATATTCCTGTCTGACTTGATATGGTTAAAGGGGACAAAACATCGACAATTCAGGAAAACAAAAAACACTTTTAATCGCTTCAATCTGAATGTAGAGTGAAAAAGAAAAAAGAACTCAAGGCACAAATAAATACTGCAAAATGGAATACAGTTGTCTAATGGTGAACACATCATATGAACAATACTTTAAGGTTTCAGATAAAACGGTTCTGGGTGGAGTCTGCTGATAACCTGCCGACCCGACACCCTAAAGACTAATACAAACGGTTTTGAAAAAATTATCCAAGATAAGACTAACCCGGTTTAGCACTTGGCATCTGGACCAGAGTTTAGGCTTGGCCCATGTGAACTAGATACAAAGATCCATGAGAATGATGGAATACAGTCTGATCCTAAACCCTATATGCTGACTTGCCCCGTCATTCTTCCGTTTATTCACTTGGTACTGCTCTCGAGAAGAGCATTAAAGCACAACAATGTGTAAAAGAGATAGTCCGTGATATTCAATACTATGACCTGCCTCGCCTACTACTGCTTCAGTTGTTAAAGGAAAACTCCAAATTTACATAGAATGGTTGAGTTCTATTCTGCCAATGACAATAACCTTGATGATGCAATAGTGATATCATCATGGTTATCTCATGAATGATGAGTCAAAATAATATGTTTCTCATAATGACTTAAAGAAACATTGGCAGAAATGGGCTTCCATACATCTTGGGCTACAAATGTATAACAGAAATTCCACATTTCTGGAAATGCGCATTCACCACACACAGGCTTTGAGTTGCACTTTGAGAAGTTGAAAACACTGAAACTCACTCAGTGTTTTTGGAGCTTGGTGCCAATTTTCTTAAATTCAAAGGGTTTACTCGTCACTCACTGTTTTTTTTATCCGTCTCTGTCTGACACAATGCTAAACTGCTGGAGTGCCCCTTTAACAAGCTGCATCTCCCACATAAGGGCTGTAAATTTCTGTTGTTCAGTTCTTCCCCTCTCTGACCTTGACTGTCTGTAGAGAATGTCTGACTCTAAACCAGATGGTTTGCTGATTATACACTACACTGTAAATACTGTAAAAGCCAAGTCTATGTTTAGGCTGTTGTGGGAGAGAGTGAGAAAAGATGCTCCGCTTGCTTTTTAAAAAAATCGTGATTAAGGTTTGTTTTTCTGTAAAATGACAGAACAGGTGGGTGGGGAAATGCAGAGGCCAGGTAACCCTTGCACTGAGGGGCGGGGGAGGGTAGCTAGAGTTTTGACAGGCGATGCTGATGAAACAAGCACTTCAACCAAAACGAAGAAAATGGGGCGTCTTGGTCTTTAGCGTTTATGTGTCTAAAAACCGTCTGTCTGGACAAACTTTAACTCAATTTGCACAACCATGGAGTTCATGTAGAATGTCATCTGAATGAAATCATGTTCAAAGTGGTACGTTTTGTTACCCTAATTTTCCCTAACATTAAGAAAAATTTATGTTTTTAGAAGGGTTGAAAAACCACATGAATCAATCTAGTCATGGAAGTGGCTTCTTATTTTTGAATACAGCTTCTCAGATATTTGATATTTCACTACAAACAGTAATTAATAATTAAGGCATTACTGCTGCATTAAATACTGTAGCAACAGACCAAGGGGGGCAGGGTGTATAAGTAATGGTGGATGGGGGTGGGCGGGGGTTATGCCCTGACCACTTGATCATCAAGAGTCATGAATACAATGCTGTGATGAAGTGAGCAGCCGGGCCACGTGAACCACTTCGACAATATTGCTGGTACACGGTCAGACCGCGGCCAGTGCAACCTACAAACACGCCCCACTTCTTCTCTTACGCAAAAAAATGTGGTACTAAGCTAAGAAAGGCATAGCACAAGAGAATCATCTGCTAAACCGACGCTGTTCGAAGCTCGGAAAAAGGAAGGAGCACAGCTAAAATGGCGACCGGTGACTCTGCTCTTCTCTCTAATCTCGCTCTGAAGTGTTAAAGCTTTGTGGCGGAACACGAGCCGGATTGTGCCGTAGCATTGAGGTTCAGCCACAAAAAACAAAACAAAATAACAACTGTAAACATATACGGGCTGCTCCGATGGTCACCGCTGCAAGGGCTTTTGGGAGGGTAGGTGAGGTCAGGATATATCCACCGTGGCTTAAAGACGGCCTTTCCCAGAAGTCCTTGCAGCGTTTGTGGAAGAACCCTGACGGACACGTAATGCTTTAAAAACTATAGAAAATAAACATCACTCTGGCCATTTCATGCCTGGAGCCCATTTTCCCTCTACTGTCAGCTAAACCTCATCAACTGCTTCACTACATGTGGACCCGTCAGCTTTCTCTCCAAATATTAACAGAGCACCAACACTGTCTTTTCAACACGTCATGAAAGCCAAAAATACCACTGAAGCACCTTTGAAAAGTGGTGCCATTTAACACTTTAGGCTATGAACTCATTTCCACGTCTTATCACACAGTGTCTCCACTCTGAAAAAAGACATGCTTTTATTAGCCTGCTGACAGCAGTACTGACAGGAGAGACGCATCAGACAAGAATGAGTGCGCCACGGACCCTGCACACTGTGAGATAACAGCCATCTTGTAAGTCCAGTGATGGGTCTAATACAGTCTAGGTCACTGTATCATGTCAATGTTGAGGCACGTCAGGATGCTCACAGCGCTACAACATAAACAGAAAACTAAATAGGCCTGCAACTAAAAATTCAACTAATCTGCTGATTACTTTATCTTCAAATTGCTCGCTGTCTTACTAAAACAATTAATCAATTATCCAAACAGTAGCAGACTAACTTTCTGTCAATCCAGTCAATGACCCACCCCAAGTCCCGCCCCTTTTTGCTCTGAGCTCCAATGTAGAGGAAAAGAGGAAGTTGACTGAGGCGTGCTCAACTGTTATTGGAGCACAGGGAAAAGGGGGCGGGACTTAGGAAGGGTCAGTTGATTGAATGACTAATCGTTTGATTTCTAAAAATGTAAATCTAAATATGAGAGCAGAAACGCCATCGACATGCATGGCCACTCGTGTTTTAAAAATGTTCGTCCATCTTTACCAAATCTCACGAAGAGGACCTTTAAGTAGCTACTCTCGAGCTTTCAGTTATTTCACATGATCTTCAGCAGCACACATCCATAACAGGGCAAACTCCCCTCTGCTGATGAAGATCATGTGATATGACCAATTCAATGGAAAAACTGACAGTTATGCCACCATGATATATACAGTACACAGCTGTGTGTATGTACATTAGTGTTGGGTTGGACAGCGTGTTACATGTACTGTTCTGATCAGTTGATTTGTGGCTTTTAGCAGCAGTCACATAGAAACCATTTGGTTCTGAAGGTCTTACACGTCTTTGGTTACCAAAGCTCTAATTGGGCCGTCGGTTGACGTGTCTCACAGTGAGATAGGACCACAGTTTGGACCAAAATGGCACAGTGTGTCAGGGCCTCTAAGAGACTCTAACTGAGCAGTTAACAAGATGAACAGGAAGTAAGGGCCCAGGGCAACAAAATGGCCAGAGTTCTAATTTAAAATCTCTGGACATACAATCAAAGATAATGTCCAAACATACAATTCATGGTCAAATTCAAAACCTAGAGATATAGAGGAGAATCTTAACAGTGAACATCTGGTCAAAAATAATCTGCCTACATGTTTCTCTCCATCTTTATAGTGCTCAAAGCTTTAAGAAATGAAACTTTTCACAGCGCATGCCATTCAAGAACAGCAATGGCTCCAGCTGCGAGGGGCTGATGCCAAGGTTCTCTCATTCTGGCCCTTCTGACTGCCTCACAAGCTCAGAAAATATTAACAACACCACAGTCCAGACACACACACAGCATCCAGCCCCAATCCCCATGCTTTCAGCGCACGGTACAGTACAAAGAAGAGCTTTATCACATGGTCCAGCACTAAATCATTGGAATAAAAATCATAAAAAATAAAAACACGTCTGAGACAAAAAATATACACTCACATGAGACCATGACCCTGTACTAAAGCATGTTGTGTGGACACACTCCTGCTGTAATGGCCGACCCTGCTCCCTGTACAAAAGTCACAGGGGAGGGACGCGGTCGCGCCACCCTCCATCTGAGAGCAGCTCTACTCTTTTTCACACAGTGCACCTCAAAGAGAAAAAAAGCACAAAAAAGGCAAAATTAAAAAATATACACATCTCTAACTGATGAAATAATTTATGTCTGAAAAAGAACAAAATCTGGTAAACAAAATAAATTAAGGCATGCAAAAGATAATGTCAAATCTTGAGATTTGGATACTTTTTTTTTTAAGCCAAACATCCTATACTGTTAGAAGATCTTCCTGTTAGGAAGAAACCACTCACTCTTTATTAAATCCTCAGAACGAAGGTAGCTGCCAAAATAAAATTCAAACCCACTGGAATATTCACTGTAATATGCCCGAGCGTTTAAAGGCCCATATTTACATGTTTGTGTTCTGTGTTCGAGCTTTTAAGAGGCCGATATTTACATACATGTTCATGCGGATTCAGCAGCAGTGCAGCGAAACAAAACGGCAAAAAACACTTGAGTGACACGACAGGAGCGCTTCGTCCTGACTCAGAGCAAAAATAAATACTACATTATCAAAATAAAAATAAAAAATGTACATCACAAACATTAATGTCGACCTCGCTCAGATCCCTCCTTTTAAAAAGGAATTGCTGCGGCCTGACGAAATGATATGTATAAAACAAAACAATAGTAGAAAGTGAGACAAAGATCTTGTCTGTTGGCTTGTAAGGTGACGGTGATACATCAGAAGTGAAGCAGTGCGGAGCCGAGCGGGAGGGAGCTGTGGTTCTGCCACGTTAAGGCTTTGCAGTAAACATCGGAGCTGAGATGCTGCTGCTCCCTCCAGTCTAAACCAAGACTCATGTCAACTTGTAGAAGTTAAGCCGGCACGGACAAAAAGACATGCAGCAACTCACCAATCTCTTTCTCACACTCACTCACACTCACACACACACACACACACACACACACAATCGACAGTTCACTTTGAGAGACTTTGCCACTGCCTCTTCATTTTTTCCTCTCTTTTTTCGGTTCACCCCTCCCGGCCTGCGCCCCCCCTCCTCTCCTCTGCCGCTACGCCTCTGAATTTGGCTTGACAGGGGCACTGGGAAGCCAGGCCACAGGGGAGTTGTTGAGCTGGGGGTGTGTGGACCAGGGGTTGGGTAGAGGGAGGGGAGTGGGGGGCTTGGTGGGGCGCAGGGGGCGGGGCAGTTCAGTAGTCTGTGATAGGAGCGAGCTCAGGGTACAGGTCCACCGTGATGTTCTTGTAGAGGCTGCTGAGGGAGATGTGGGGGCTGTAGTGGAGGTTGTTGAGTCCGTCCAAGTGTTGCCGCTCTTTGGAATACCTCAGCAGTTTGTACCTGCGAACACAGTCACACAGTTCTCAGATCAGCCTTTATACACTCCGTCTGCCCCAAGTTCAAGCTCTAGAAGGAGCTCTATGGCATAGAGGAAAAGGATATATCAGGCTTTGATCTATCTTTTTTAAATGACTTTTGTGAAAAACAAAGCAGACACTGGAGTCAGTATCTAGTGGGTGTCAGATGAAGTTCAAATGAAAGAAGAGACTTTTTTTTTTTGCTGTGATTCAAGAAGCTGCCTCACCTCCCGAGGAACTGCACCTCTCCTCTGTGGTGGTGAGGGATTGACTTGTACTTGCCGATCTCTCCCTCTGGTCGTGTCACATTCAGACCAGCGTAGTGAACCCTGAGGAGAGACCAGACTGCGTTACCACTCACAGCACTGAACTGATACGAGCTTACAGCCGACATCTACCAATTGTTTCATGGGCTTCAGTCTAACAGAACACTGTAAGCAGCTTACCAACAATCTGCTGATAGGAACATGAGGAACATCTACTTACAGGTATGATTGTTAAACATTTGTTGGCAGTGAGCTGAAAGTAAAAAGCAGTCAGTTGAAACTGAACAATCAGGCTGAGAACATGGTGATTATTATCTATTTGCACACAAATGGAATCACAGTAATATGATGGTACTGGCTGATATTTTCACTTGTTCTATAGCAGTGGTTCCCAACATTTTTCCATCATTAATAAACTGAGCCCTGCCTAAGTGACATATTTGATGGACTATATTCAAAACTGTAAAGATGTTTGTGTAAAACCAGAGATTTGGATAAATTTTGAGCAGATAATTTCTCGTTTAGGGAATTTTTTATAGAGTTCATATTTAACAATCATACAGACCTAATTGGCTTCTTTTCTAAATAAATGTAGTGTCTTCTTGTCCCTGACGATTGGCCATTGTTCAATTTACTTTAAATTTCTTCACAGCAGCGAACCAAATGCTGCACTGTAAAACCAGACAAGTTCTTTTAACTCCCAAAACATTTTGAAACTCATTTTTTAGATTAAAGAAGATTAAGTCGCTTTTAGACGTAATTTTAAGTATCACTAACTTAGTTTTGTAAGTTACAGAAACATTCCTGATTAATTACTTTTTACAAGGTATTTTGTTTTCACAGCACAAATAAAAACTCATTCTTACTTACTAAAGCTACTGGATCAAGAATGTCATTTTAATTTAAAATTGAGTTGGTTTGAAAAAAATCAGATACTCTCTACAAGGGTCTGTTTTGAAATTCTATGTAACCTGGCAGCCCTTCTTGACATTTGTGGATCAAATGGAAGCAGAAAATGTAACCCTGTAATACATGTGACCTCTTACTTGTATTGTCACATATGTTCTTTCTGTCCCTGCTATATTTATTAACATGACGCACCTTATCAACAAGTACGCAAAATGACTGTCTTTGATTTTGCGGTACAGGTTGGTTGTTGTTAGTATTATGTTTGTGTACATACTGTGAAAATCTTCAATAAAGACCTTGTTCAAAAAAAACATTTGTTAGGTTTTACTACCTTTATTTGATGTATCAGTTTCAACATTGAGTTAAATGACTTTATCTGGTTTTACAGTGAGATATATAGGCCTACTGTGTATATTTGAAAGTTTTTTAGCACACCTTAAAATCAAGAAGGCCTCACGACCCTCTGCAAAGCTTTGGGGAGTCCCAGTAGAGGTTTCCGAACCCCAGGTCGGGAACCACTGCTATATGGTTCCATTCATTACCACTATGGCCACTATACCACTCACATTAAAACAACCGCAAAAGGCGTAGTTTGATAACGTTGTGAAGTAGTGTGGAATCATGGGAGTTGTCTTCATTGTTAAACATCCACCATTGCTGAGAAAAATCTATGTGATGAGGCTCATGGACGAGGTCATGTCATGGCCAGCATATCCCAAAAGTTATAGCAACTAGAGGCAACGGGTGAACGGCAGCGAGTTGTGGAGCAGAACATAATCTCTCCTCAGAAACCAATGCCCTCACAGCTTTACACTTCACCATCACACTTTGATCGCGTTTATTCGCCTCATAAAGACGATGTGCGTACTCTCAGACTCAGGGTCCTCTGGTTGGATGTCAGCTGAATAATGAAGAATATTGCAACTTAATTACTAAACAGTTAGAATTGAATATTTCATTGAATACAGCTGAGTCACATTGCCTACATTTTTAAACCATGTGGGTGGTTTGCCAATGTTTACTTGCAATATAATTGTTGTATTTGTAAACAGTTGAGTTTTAATGAATTTTGTCATCATATTTTTGCCTACACTATAACACAAGTTATTTGCCTCGACATATAAAACCAACACATTATAGAATCCTTTATTTCTGAGGTAAGGTTTTAACTGAAAAAGTGACAACTTCTTAAAAGTCTTTGAGCCTTGATATTTTTCAGTCTCATGATCTTTCCATCTTTATACGCGAGTTTTCCTAAAATTAGACTGAAAACAAATCGCAATATATCGCCTCTTTACAATATCATTTAAAAACGAATTAAAAATACAACTTTATATAAGTAACGTTAACTTAGTTAACTCAATCAATTTTTAAGACCTGTTCAAAATCATATTTGAGACATGTTTTGGCTTAAAGAGTCAAAAATCCAATAATCTGAATTTTAAGACCCAGGGGACACCCTGAACAGAGATATAGTCTTTATTCCATGCATTATTCTTCCTTGTCAAAAGCTGTCATCTACATTACCCACAATGCAACTTCACTGCTGACAGTTGGGTGGCAGATTGCTGTGTTATGTTGGAGCAGCTAATGCAGCCTGGAGTCACAAGCAGAGATGAATGTTGATGTTGTATGATCATATATGTCTTCTCCCACAGTTTTTTCTCCAACGGACACTGACTGAAGTGACATCACTTGAGGACATTTATCAGACATCACCTCTGTAGACACTAAAGTCTGTTGCTTTGTCCGTTAGATAGAGCATGCCTCAAGCCTAGTTGCACCCACTTGTTAGCCATCAAGTGTGGAAACAAAGCCGGTTTATGTGGTCAAATCCCTCCCTGCCTTGATGGCTTCCCAAGAAGGGGTTTGAACACTCTGAATCCACTGCGTACCCCGCTTTAGTAGACTAACCTGTTCCACAAGTCATCGTCCTCTCCTCCCCAGCCCCAGAATGCATTGGGAAAGCCATTAATCTTGCGGAACTGCTCCACGGTGAGTCCGCTCACACCACCAAAGAACTCGCTGTATGGAAGGCTGCAAAACAGCAACAAACGCAAGTTAAACATAGACCTGCAGGATGTGGATGGGTTCACTGCCTTCGGGTCAACGGATGCACTCACATGTACATGTATTTGTCCAGCTTGGCAGCAAAGTGGCGGGGCATCTGACCACAGCCGTAGTAGTTTCGGTCGTTCTCGGGGATGTGGTCCACGTCATGGAAGATCAAGCAGTCCCAGTCCAAGTCCTTCATGGCCTCCAGGAATCCCACATTAAAGAGCATGGCTCTGTTGAAGGGCTGGCTCCCACTCTGAACACAGACACACACAATGAGTCAATGAGTCTATAAAATAAATAAAGTCATATGAAGTTTTGTTTAACGTCAGGGACTGCCTTCACTACCCAGAATGCCTCACTATAGACTGCATTGCAGACACATACAACAACAGACTGCACCTGTTCGATGACGTAGAAGGCGAACTGCAGCCGCTGTCTCTGCAGGATGGGGATGAGGTGTTGGAAGAGGATGGGGAGATGTTCATGGCGGTTTCTGAATGGAATCAGGATGGCCACCTAAAGCACAAACAGAGTAAGAGTCAGCTCATGTCTACTGAATCCATCTGGTGTCTTTCAGGGTTACCGCTCCTTTTAACAAATCATTTCCCAAGACCTTTCCAGGAGTTTTTCTTGTTAAATATAGGACAGCACCTGCTCACAAATGGACATATAATTTATCAGTAGGCCAAGTATGCCCACAGGTTTATGTAGCCAATCTGAGTGAGGGTGTAAAGCGGCTGTGGCTCAGAGGTATAGCAGGTCGTCCACTAATAGGAAGGTTGTTGGCTCGATCCCTGGCTCCTCCTGCTGCAGTGTCCTTGAGCAAGATACTGAACCCCAAATTGCTCCTGATGCTGTACATCAGTGTGAATGTAAAGAAGGAATTAGTTTCTGTTCGATGGGCTTTGCCATCACTGAGTGAATGTGTGTGAAAGCTGTAAAATGCATAAACCCACCTTCCAGCGAGGTCTGCAGTCCTTTGGTTTCCAATGGCCTCCAAACTCAATGTCAAAAAACTTAGAGAACTTCAGTTCTATCTCCTCCATGGGGATCTCTGTCATGTTCACTTCCATAAGGCCCTCTGTGGACAGATGGGGTGGGGGCGTTATTCCACTGACGCAACAAAACAACAACAAAATGACTGCACAGGAAAAAAACAAGGCTGTCATAAGAAAGACAACCCTTTTCTTGTTTGTTACTGCTTAATGGTTTTCATGAAATCATTCCATCAGACCAAACACTGCTTCATTAGCTCCACACTGAGATACTGTGGGAGGGGATGTTGTGGGTACTGTGCAAAAGGCCCAGCAGCAGTATCTGCTGCACGGAAAGGCTTTACATGCCTCTATCAACTCATCAGCAGGAAGCTACAAATCATACAGATAGTAACACTGCTCACTCCCAGTGAGCAGCTCCACCTGCTGGAGGAAACCTGCATATTTGAGGAGGGTTTTCAACACTTTAATTTATTTTTAGCAGCTTAAGTTGAAAAGATGAAACAGACCATTTTTTTGGTGTTTTGTTTTTTTTGTTGCAGAAATAACGTTAATGCTTCTCTTGTAACATTAAACACAAGCTGCAGGGGCCAGCTGATTTAACTAAGAGATTAGTGGAGAATTTAATTTCTAAGTATAGAACGCTAAGAGACCCTCGAAGGACAGGGACACATACGTTTCATTAATGCATCCCTTCAAACAGCGGAGAGGCCGCTACTTTCTGCTAGCTTCTACAATTAGTAGTTGGGATTTGACAGTATCTTCTTAGTGAATCTAATTTCATTATTGAATCTGCTTATTAAATCTGAATCCATTCCAATCCCAGTATTGAATCTTTAAATTTAGATGTACTGTTCAAATTCTGAAGCAACAAAGAAGCTGAATTCTGAGAGGACAGAGATTGGTTTGAATGGTCACAACTTGCAGTTACAACCTGAAAATGAGATGAGACAGAAGATTCTCCAGATACAAAGGTAAATAAATGTTCATAGCAGCAGGAAATATGAAATCATTAAATATGTATGTGACATTTTGAAATAACAACCTACGGACTTTGACTCACTTTATTTTTCACAAGAAACTTTTGCCAAATACTGGAGGTCCTGATTCAGAACTATTACATTATTGATATGTTAAAAAGAGTTGAACTGGGGGCTGACGTGATCAGCTGATGGTTTTACTGGAGAATACTGTACTGTTTTATAATTGCACGCACTCTTTTTCACCCCCATGTGCTAGTGAAATGCTGCACTGTAAAGCTCTGTACGAGCCATCTTTCTTGAAATACAGCAACTAGAAAAAGTCTTTGGACTGGCAACTTAACAATGAAGCAGCAAAGGTTGAAGTGCAGTAAGAGGCTCTTAAATAAAAAAGACTGAACGATTCACTGATGCCCTGAAAGCACCCCGTCCTGCTGTCGGGTACCAGTACTCACTCATAGAAGGTAATCGCTCTGGGCAGGGGAGGTTCTGGGCGTAGGTGAAGTTCTCAGGGAGGTACGTGGTCGGCTGGACCAGGTACTCACTGGAGTTACTGCCATCAGGATAGTCTGCATAACAAAACAAAAAAAACTACATCAGGCAAAACAGCAGACTACTCCAAACCACATCACCTGCAGCAAATGAGACTCAAACAGGATGTCTATTGTGAAACTCCAAAAGTTATGGCTTCCAATTAGGGCCTTTTACGTTTTACGTGTTTAAAATGTGCCTATTTTAGATAAATGTCTCTTGCTAGTCTTAAATTAATACAATTTTTGAAGCTTATTTAACATTTGAGCTACTTCCATTAGATTCACTTGATGCTACTACTGTACTGTTCAGGGGGAAATATTGTACCTTTACCTATATTACATGGACAGCTAGCTTGTGTGCAGAATAACAGCTCAACAACACCAAGGTGGTCAAAAGAGCAACAATATAGTTCATCTTCACCGGTTCCTCCTCTCCTCTGCTGCTGAAAGTGCTGCAGTGGTCCAAGCCTTTTTGAGTTAGTCATTTACAGCAACAGTCACTTTATTGTAGCATCTACTGATCCTGGTCCCCAGAAGCTATTTTGGAAGTTATATTTTTTAGAAAATCCAATATTTCTGTTCTCTAGAACCCAAAAAGATCTATGAAAAACATCACACCATCCTAGCATGGTCATAAAAAGACAGCAGTTGCAGTGTGGCCGGTGTGTCTGAAAGGTTGTGAACATACAACTGAAAGTGGCAGATAGAAGTACTACAGTAGCAGAAATACGACTTCTTGTAAGCTAGTAGTTCACAGTTTTAATCAGCACCTTGCTCTATTATTCTCCACTGCCTCTGCAGCTAACCATTATTTTCATTATCGATCACTCTGTTGTCATTTTCTCGATTAATCAAGTAGTTGTTTGGTCGATAAAATGGTGAAAAATGTTAATTAGTGTTTCCCAAACCCCAAGGTAATGTTGTTGTAGACAAAACAAGACATGTGAGGACATGTCTTGTTTTGTCTACAACCCAAAGATATAATTATACTTTAAAATAGTTGGCAGGTAATTATAGGGACCAGTGTATAGGATTTAGTATATAGATATAGATATATATATATATATATATATCAAAGGTTCATTCTAAACACGATTCCCAGGGATTCCAGGTTTAAACACAATAATAGACATGCAAAAAATACTGATGTAGTATTTTAATGTCAATGTACAGGCGTATGGTGTGTATGGTAAAACGTTTTTTACGGGTTTACTTACCCGTCCCGTTGAGTGTACTGTTCTTGTTCGTGTACAATCGGATCATCTGGCCGAAGGTCCTCACGTTGTTCCTCAACATGATGCCCTGAGCCTGCACCATGAAGAAGTATGTGTTGGCTGACAGGAAGACAGAAGAGACATTTTACTCACTTGTTTTAAAACACAGCTTATCGTGTAGCTGTTTGATTCTAGAAACTACACGAATCAACAGCAAACACAACGACAACGTAAATATCGTAAATACTGTTTCAATGTGACTTCTTAGTTTGAAACATTGGTGTGATGATAAAGCTGTAGGATCTCAGTTGTCTAGAAAATATCCACTGGAGCTGTAAGAGTGCAAGATTTGGTTGTACCGGATTATAATGACTCCTGATTCCAAAAATTCCTTAATGACTCAGAGGAGGGAACCAGTCTTGTGAGAAACATAAAACGTCATTTCGCAGGAACAAAATCTGTTTTCTAGTTTGTTTCATCCTACTAATCCAGTGAAAGTAATAACGGCACAGAGTAACAGCCACAAACAATAAATATTGTTTTTTCTGCAATATGTACAATTCATCATTGATGTCTCAGTGAAACAGCCACAATGTTCTGTCTGCAAGATTTATTTGACATACATTCAGAAGGGAACAATGCAGTGGAATCTGTTCAAGTGACAGCTTTGTCATTCAGACAGGTTTGTTCTGGCTTTGCTCACATGCTGGACATTAAGCATTTTGCTGGATAGGGATCATTCAGTCCATGCAGCTGGTCGAAATGAAAGGGTGGGTGATGCTGCTTTTACCCTGTGCTGCGTGGAGAAAAAATCATTTTTATAGACTGATGAGATGAGAGGAATCTACCCTCACAACTCAACACTGGCTCATTTACAAGGTCTTGTGTTAACTTCAGCTGAGGGGGTGATGACTGAGTGATCATTTGCTCTTGGTGGTTGTAATAATACAGAAGACGTGTGTTTCTCTATGCATGTTTCACCTTGGGTCATACGACTGACGGCATTTAGTTCAGACGTGTCGTGTTCATGCACAGTAACCCAATGAGCTTGCTGTTGTGACTTTCACCTAAAAGTTCTAAATGCTAAAAAAGGTTACAAAACAGGATGTGATGGTTGTGAAATGACTATTTAACATGGGCAGGAGTTGACACAAATGTTTGTCTGTGAACAGCATGTAACTGAAAGACACACAACCTCTTCTTTAACTGTTTATGCGTTAAGTATACAACCCAAACAAAATCTATCTTGAAGTCAAAAACCAGCTTCTCTTCCCATAAGGAAGGCTAATACAGTGTACTTAGGAATATGAACGTGGGAAAATGCACAAACAACAAATGAACTCATCAGTGATGCTTTAGAAGACAAACAATTTGTGACAGAGGCTGACATCTGGCTGGATCCTAGAAGGCTGACTCACTTCTAGGGATGGCAGTCTGTTTATTCGTACATGCTTAACCCAAACGGAACCTTATGTTCATGCTCTAATTCACTGGGCTGCCTAAAGGAGCATTCTGTATTCTTATCCCAAGTCTCCCAGAATTCTCTCTGTGAGGTGTGTTAGTCTGCCTTACCAACCTCTCTTAAACTCATCCTGCACGTTCCTGAGGTAACACACCGACTGCTATACAAGGCTGGCTACTCCACTCCTTTTGGTGCGCAAATTTCATTCAAACTAATGTTACTCAAGAAAGAGAAAATCAGCCCACAGAACCAAGTGTGGCTGTTAGAAATCAGCAGACAGGAATAGAATATGCACCGCAGGGTCATAGTAGAGAGCCTGAAACAATTAGAAAATATCAATAGAGCTGCGCCATCTCCTCAGAGAGCTGTACTGAGGCACAAATAAACACGCAATGGTCTGACATGAAATGCAGTGCATTATTAAAATGGAATGCAGCCAACAAAAATCATTCCATTATAGCTGATGTTACACTGCCAGGCGTTTATAACAAAGGAAGACACCTTGCCAATAAATAAAACACTGTTACGCTCTCAGTAAAGTAGTAAACTGAATATTAATTTTACATTATGATTCATTTAATTCTGGTAACATACTGAAACTCTAAACTCATTCAGATGAAGGCATTCCACTTCTGAAGTCAAGGAGTTATCTAAATCTCCAAATCTATCGTATGTGCCAAAAAGTGAAGAGAGTGTGTTTTTGCTCTGTGCTCCAATAACAGTCGAGCAAGCCTCGCTCAGAACCTTCTCTTCGGACTCGCCTCTGAGTGAGGGGCTGAAATGCAACAGGGATTATTTCCAGAATATTCTGCCTTTTTGATCCATTTCCAGGTGTTTTTATGACTGTAAAACTAGTCCAGGTTTTCCAGTTTTTCCAGGACAGGTGGGAACCCTGTTAATGCATATTGTTCCACGGTATATACTGTCATATTACACAACCGTAGTGTCACTCTTCCTGATGACTAATACATCAGTTTCAATGTGTGTGTGAGTAAACAGGACAGTGTGGATGATAAGTGTCATCACAGAGCAGCCAGGCAGCTTCCGGTGTGGTGACAGGGCAGTCTGGACTGCAGACAGGCAGCTGGTGAAATGACAATACAAATGTTTGCTACAGTCCCTGAAACCCAGAGAATAATCATCCTCAGTTCAGGATCGGAAAAAAAAAAAAAAAGTATACAAGGCAGAACAAGCAGAGCATAAAAATGACGGTCACCCATCCTCAAATTAAATTCTCAACTGGATGTTGAACGAAACATGAAACAGAGCACTCCCAGTCAGTGCGGCAGCATACTGTACAGACAGCCCAGGATGAATGCAGACACACAGCTGGCTGCAACACACCTGAATCCACCGGGCCTGGGTGAAAACGACCAATCACAACCGAGAAAGATACAAAGACTCCCAAAGCGTCTGTATTTGACACCCTGGTGACTCAACAATCACCCATCTTTCATCCCAAAGTTATTTTTATACCAACTGCAGCTTTAAATGAACCAGACTGAAACTAAAGGTTCCTAGACAAATCATGTGTAATACTTTGACACGGCGCAGGAAACAAAAGAATTGGAAAAACGTCCTCCTCTCTGCACATACCTTAACCATAACCAGCCACAGACTGCCTGCAATTTCAAACCACGTGCAGTGTACAGATGGGTGCCAAAGAACAAGCGTCTCAAAAGGGTCTCAGCGCAGCACGAGCTCCCACAACAGCTTCTGCAACACATTCTTCTGAGCCTTCTAAATAGAAAGAAGCCCAAACACAGTGTGTATGCCCGACTGGTAGACATTGTACTTTTCTAACTTAAGAAATATGGCATGGCAGAAACCATAGCTAAAATCAGTCCATTAAAACCCTACTGTGAGTGTGTAAACCTGTTATCGGAGATCATTATTTCAGTAGAATGTTAATACTTTTCAAAATCACCAACTATTGTGATCAACTGAATTGTTTCGAGTCTTTTTTTAAATGCACAAATTCTCTGCTTTCAGCTCCTTAAATGTGAAGATTTTCTGGCTTCTTTAGTCCTCTATGACACTAGCTCTCCACCTGGAGTCCCTGAAGAGGCTCCCCAGACAACTGTCAAGTATTCTGATTTCACTATTATATCATATACAATCGAGCTGCCAGACCGCGCGCTCTCATACATCTTGAGCGAATTTTCCCAGAACTGCATCTCCTCCCAAGCATGACCAACACTGATTGCCAGTAAAAGGCTGCACTGTGAGCACATAATTCCTGACAGCACAAAACCACCTCCATCCTGTATGTGAACATCACAGAAACTACCCAGGACAAACCCAATCCAGTACTGGGAGGGGGGGAGACACATAAATGATGGGTCAATAATGGGAAATTTATATTATGATGTACTATCCTGATAGATTGGTCCATAATGTTTTTTCACTCCTTGGGCAAAACATTTGAAAGGCTTTATGTTCTATGTTTGTAACTGTTTTATACTTTACTAGAAACGAATAGTCAGAACTATTGATTAGATGTGGTTCTGTCAGAGCTGTGGAATATTAAATCATTTATGAACTTCTTTTTAAAATATAAAAATGTGTCCTGATCCAGTATCTTATTGTTATCTTATTGAATTATTTGTTATTCAGGGTTCCCACTCTTTAACAGGTCATTTTCCAGGACAAGACAAAACTTTGCTAATCGACTACATTCATTTGTAACAGTACCAACATCATGTAGAATTTATTTCATTTTACAGAACATTCATCTTCTAGAAAGTTAAAGTGTTCATTGCACTTACAATTAGCGGCACTGTGCAGCTCTGGAAGAGATTACTGAAAGTCAGTTCCACTGCATCTGGTAAGGACACTTTGAAGTGTTACACAGTTTATTCAACCAACAGTCGAGCTTCAAACAAAATACGCTGACCTGAGCGAGGGGCTAAAATACAAAACTCTTCCAGGATATTTGGTCATTTTACTTTCCAGATGTTTCCATGGCTGGAAAACAAGTCTCTAAATGTCCAGGGTTTTCAGGATGGGTGGGAACCCTGTTATTGTACCGGCTGATGACAAAATCCATATCGTGCATCCCTACAGCAGTAAACAATCTGAAGCCTTCCCAGCAGCGCCCATCAAGTATTATTCCACATGTTCTTCCTCAATATTGAGTAGAATTTTGAGGTATTGTACAAAATGAATGGGATCAGGGCTGCACAAGATGGTAAAAACATCACGTGGAAATTATTTTGATTGATAATGCACTTCGAGATTAGTGAAGGAACGATCATTTTTGTATCACAAATTTAATTTTCACTAAAAAAACAAACTTAAAATAATTATGTCAAATGTTTGAAGGTCCATACCAAACATGTTTCCTGTCCAGAGGACACTTAACAAAACATTACACCTTCTCCGATTTGCATGTTGAGATTTCAATATCAGTTTAATTAATTGTACAGCCCTAAAATAGAGATCTGATTCTAGGGTTGACTTTGTTGCATACTGTAGAAATTACAATACACTGACAGTTTGATCCTAGTTCAGTGCCATACCTGCCATAATATTGTTTTATTGAGACTTTTTCACCAACAAGACAAAACGCAGGGCACACGACTACCCATTTTAAGTGGAGATCCACAGAAAGCTGACACATCTGGACATGAATACTGGTGCATTTGGGCCCAGCAGCACAGGTGAATGTATAAACCCAGGCATGGACTGGCTCAACCTGCCTGTGCTGCTTAGAACATTAGCAGTGATGCCCACAGTTCATTCATTCACAAGGCAGCCTTGCGCCAGCTTGAGCGCCAATCAGCCATAAATCAAAATCAACCTTTAGCTAATATCTCACTCGTCTGGCCCACTGCGACACACATTTCACCCTTTAAACATCGCAGAAGAGCGAGAGGGCGAGCTGGACTCGACGCCCGGGGCGGACCTTCTAGCTAACGGGCTAGTTAGTTAGCCCGTTAGCTAGCTAGTTAACGGTTTCAGCGTTAGCATGGGCAGTGACAGACAGCGGCTGAAGCTCGTTAGGGCTGCACAAGATAATCCACACATAATCACATTAACTGTTACCTTGTGAGGGGTTTAGTGTAAGCCGCTGTTAACTAACCTATTCCAGGAGCCACGTAAATGAAGTAGAGACAAGTGGTGGACATGGAGAAGAAGAATATGAAGGCCAGAAATGATCGGTTGGACATTCGCAGCAGTCGCCTCCAGTTCACCATTTTGGCTTAGGCCCGCTTCTCTTTCGCCGATATGAATCCCATAAAATACTTTTTTTGGAGTTTAAAAAGTCCTCGAATTGACGGACGAAAGTGTCAATGGCCTGGTCATGGGAGAAAACCTGCACCGTTAGAGCCCGGGATGCAGCGCGGCAAAGGGGGCTAGCGCTAGCGGTGCTAGCTGGCCTGCTTTCCCCTGCCAAGAAATTTCCAGATGGAAAAAGCAGGCCCGTAACGGCGTTATCAGGCAACTGAGAGCCGCATGGAGCACCACCGGTCGGGCATAGTGAAACACTCCGGGCCAAGAGCTCAGCAGCAATACTACTTAAGGAGACTCATGGTAGCCGTCCATGGTTGCCAGCGAGGCTTTTATCGCTAGCGCTGGTGGTCGGTCATTGAAGGGGGCAGGACCGCTCTCTGCCTCTCTCCCACACACGGTCTACTCTCGGCCGGTGCGATGTTTCCAAAACAGTCGGTGCACTACTTCGTCGAACCTCGCGCACGGGAGTCCAGCAGTCATGCCACCGGGAGTCTCCGCACCGTCTCCGCGCGACCGTGGCATTCAACACGCATAAGTGCGGGGCGGTGTGCGAGAGAGAAACTCCAACAGAAGCGATATCAGGTCTGCCTCCTTTTCATTTTCTGCTGGCACTGCAGAGACCGTTTCCGGTGGGTGTAAGATCACCCCTCCCCCGCGTCACCATGGAAACCTGGGTGCGCGGTGCGGCGGCGTGTTTTGCCGTAAGCGCCTTTTTTTTTTAAATTCCTTATATGTGTGCACATACCTGACCGATAAAGTGATTCTGATATTATAAATACAGCAGGCATGCATTGCTACTGGCTAGTCAGGTTATCCTCTGTTTCATTCTGGCTCATTAAAGTCAGCAATAAGAACCATAATCCATCTTTTAAAAAAGCTCAAAATGATTGTTCACAGTAGAATTAAACGCAGAAACAACATATCTGTTTTATGTATCTGTTGATGCAGCAATAAACAACAAGTTGAACCCGCTCTACCAGGTGAGCTACTTTCTGTGTTTGGTACGGTTTTGGTACTCCTGTTTTTGTCTGTACTTGTGTTGATGTTTCCCACCTGGGACAATAAAATGACTGAACTGAACTAAAAGCTAAGTTCAGTTCAGTCTGAACTCAGGCTAAACACACACAAAACAATTACTAGCACACATGAAACAGAAACCCTCCTACTAGCAGGAGAACCCCTTGGGTGTGGGCTCTCCATCTGGCCTATAACAGACACAGAGGCCCCCTCTGATGGCTTTGCACTGCATATACTCCCACAACCTTTCCCAGCTCTTCTACAGGCCTATCTCTCCTCCAGTACTCCCATGGCTACCAACCACCTCTTGTCCCAGAGCTAGGAGGATCCAGCGTCCCCTCCACGCACCTGGATTAGGCCCACTCCTGCTACTCTCCGTCCTACCCATCAGTGTTCCCACCATTCCCCGTCCCCTGACCTTTCTCACCCACCTGCACACCATTCCCCCATTATTGTGGCAGTATACATGCAATATCATCTTATGTGCTTTGGCTTAGTGTTCCGGCCATCATCTGTGCCTGCCTGTGTGAATCCCTGCCTGCCTTTTGGACTTTTTCCCCGCTGCCTGATCCCTAACAGGATAAGTTGGCCTTGCCTGCCTGGTCTGAACTTTTGCCTGTGTCTGACCACAAGTAAAACTGAACTTTGAACTTTACCTGCCTGGCCTCTGAACTGTGGGGTCCAAACCTGGTAATACTGAGTCGCTACGTTCCCATCCCCATTTTTATGCTCCGAGAACTCTCCGAGAATCATATTACTTCATCCACCCACTTCAACATGTTCATCCATTATTCACTACAAAAGAATGGAATACAAACGCTACCTGTTCAGCTATTCCATTTCTTTAACATACTGTCTTTGAACTTTGACATGAAGTCATCAAAACACCAGTTATAACATATATATATCAACTTTGGCAACGTCAGTCCTTACAAAAACGGACTATAGTAAATAAATAGTATTGTATTATTATGTCCTATATTAGGTTTGTAGCGGTATTACTATGGTTGTTGTTGTATGGTTGTGCTATAGTAGCCCTATAATATTTCCATAGTAATACTACGTATCTAAACTATGTATTCTATTTTAAATATTACTATTGTATAGTATATAAACAATATTGTATAACTATATTAATTCCCTGAAAAACTATAGAATGACTATAGTGATACTTTATAAACACTAATTATAATTTCACTATAAGATTAACATAGCCAACTCAATAGTATTATTTTGTAATTTTCTATAGTGCATTTCAAAGAAACATAGAATTACTATAGTAATACTGATACTGTATTTATATAGGAGATCTTTGAAGTAATAGGTTCTTGTCAGGGTTTTGTTTACGTTTTTTTGGCCACAAGGGTTAAACTGCATTTTTTGTCTAACCTGTAATAAAACTTTATGACCAGCTGCTAGAGGACTAATTTGTCTTTCATTTTCCTGAAGACTGTTGGCCAGGAAAAAGTGTGACCTTCTCAGTAGCAAACACTGTCCTTTCCTCCACTGATACCTTGAACATTATCTACAGTAGTCCATGCTCCACTGAATGGTCCAAAACGTGGTGGAACTGATATCACATCCAGCAGCAGCTTCCACACATACCAGACAGTTTCAGTCTGCGATCAAACAACTAGTTGATTTTAGCTGATGTAAACAGACTGAAAAAGGGAGTTGAACTGGAGGTTAAGAGACTGACAGTCTGCTGGAATTTTTACTTTCTGGTACCTTGACTGTCTCCTCTCCACTGATCCCTCAGTAGAGGGCGCTGTTTTCTGCCCTGCCAGTGACTCATGAGTCACATAAAGTGACCCACATGTGTCTTTGTATCCAGTGGCAATGGTATGCAGGGGGTGGAATCATGGCTGAAGTTGAGCCACAGAGGAAAAAAATGAACCCAAAAGGCAGCTCCAAGTGCTGACATTGTGATGTAAACTCCAAACTTACCTCTTCAGCCTGACCTTTAACTAGGAATGGATAAACATTGTTTACCTTATTATTCAGTTATTTTATCAGAATTTCTTGTACATTTCATTCATTTATTATGAATATATATATGTCCTTAATCTTCATATTTTTTCTTCTTCCTATTGATTTTATTTATT